GTGTCTGAGTCCTTGTTTTTATTTATTTTTATTATTATTATTATTTTTTTGAGTCCTTGTTTTTAAATCTTTCTATGACTGGGAGAGAAACTGGCTTGGTCATATGGTAATCCTGTTTAACTCTTGGAGAAACTGCCAAACCATTTCCCACAGCAGCTGCACCATTTTACATTCCCACCAGCAATGCACAAAGGTTCCAATTTCTCCACATTCTTACCAACACTTGTTATTATCTTTTTGATAACAGCCATCATAGTACACTGGAAGTGGTATTTCACTGTGGTTTTTATTTGCATTTCCCTAATGACTAATGGTGTTGAACACTTTTCATGTGCTTGTTTCTTATTTGGTGAAAAAAAGAGAAAGACAGTAAATTGTCTAGGAGGGGACACAGGGCCAGTATAACTACTTTAGGGAGGTAGGTGGCAATAGTAATTTTGCTTTGTCCTAAAAAGGAATTTGTTACTAATGTAATTTGAAAACAACTTCTTTCTCATCTATAACTGGCTTCAGTTATCATCTATACACTGATGATTCAAACATCCCTACCTCTAAGCCATATGCTGAAGTCAAGTTTAACATTCCTATTTTCATATTTTTACTATAAAGCTCCATTCATTCAACATACATGTATTGGGTGCCCACTGTGTGCTATGGGCTGTTCTAAGTGCTGGGGATCCAATAGTGAATATACCAAACAGATCTTTAGCCTAAAGAATTTATATACTTGTTTACACTTGATGTGGTACAGGCACCTAACAGTATGTTCAAAAACTGAACTCATGGAGTGACATCAGTGAAAACAATGGAGTTAGTACCTCCAGTAGCCTGTACCTCCCCAGAATTACAAAAAAAAAGAAAGAAAAAAACAGGAAACACTGTCAGAATGAACATAACAGAGTTCCAGGAGCTATTCTGGACAGGTATTTCATGTTCAGTGATGCTGAGCAGAACTTTAGTTCCATCTAAATAAAATGTGAATTTAAAGTTAGGTTCTCCAGACAGAGGACAAATATTGTGTGGTATTGCTTCTGTGTGGAATCTAAGAAAATGGTACAAATGAACTTATTTACAAAACAGTAATAGAGTCACAGATGTAGAAAACAAGCCTATGGTTACCAGGGGGGACCAGGGGAGGGATAAATTGGGAGATTGGGATTGACATATACACATAACTGTATAAAAAACAGATAACTAATAAGGACCAGGGAACAATACAGCACAGGGAACAATACTCTGTAATGGCCTATATGGAAAAAGAATCTAAAAAAAGTGGGTATATATATTTGTATCAGATTCACTTTGCTGTACACCTGAAACTAATGCAACATTATACATCAAATATACTCCAATAATTTTTTTTTTAACTGCGCTTACTACCTTTCCTTAATATATACTCCTTTTACTGCATCTTCATCTCAGGTGACAGGATCACCATCCTGTCATCCAATCTCCCAAGTAAGAAACCTCTGAGTCAGCCTTGACTCCACCCTCTTCCCTTATCCCACACATTCCATCCATCATCAAAATTATCTCTGGTACCCTTCCCCTCCTCTCCATGCCTACTGCCTTTGATTGTTTCAGATTCTCATTTTCTCTCATTAGGACCAATGCAGCTATCTCCTAACCCTTTTCACTGCCTCCAGTTTCTCCTCCAGTCAATCCATCATGCATGTCACCTACTCAATTAGCTTTCTAAAAGAGCAATCACAAGATTCTGCTGCCCTGGTTAAGACCTCTGCTGGACTTCCCTGGTGGTCCAGGGGTTAGGACTCCACTCTTCCAATGCAGGGGGCATGGGTTTGACCCCTGGTTGGGGAACTAAGATCCCACATGCCTATACGGCTCAGCCAAAAAATAAACAACATTTAAGAAAACTAAATAAAATAAATAAAAATAAAAATGACCTCTACTGGCTCCAGGACAAAGTTCCAGCTCCTGGGACATCCTTCACAACTTAGTCTCAACCATGCAGCATCATCTTTCCATTTTTCACTCCAGCCACAAAAATATCTTGCGATTCTAGCTATTCCACGCAACCATTTTTTTTTTTTTTTTTTTTTTTTTTTTTTGTTTAATTCATTACATTTTTTTTTTTTTTTGGCGAGGATTATACTTCTCATGGAACTCACTTACTTACTTCTACCTTATATATATTTTGTCTTCAAGACTAACCTCAAAGGTCACAGCCACTGTGATGTTTTTTCTCCACTCTCAGAACTGAGCCTCCACCCACATCATGCTTCTGCAACACTCCTCATATTACAGTACAGAGCACCCTGCATTTTACCTTTTTGTGAAGAAAACCTATCTTCTTTGGAATGTGAATTCCTGAAAGGCAGAGAATGTGTCACACTCCCCTCATCTCTATAACCTCAACACTTAGCACAGTACCTGGCACATGGGAGTCTCAAAATGTTGTTGAGTTCCCTTTTCCCTTCCCCTCAGTAACTGTTCTGAATCTCTGACACTCTCCTCAAATCCTTTTCCCAACTTCTCAGTTCAGTCTATCTGAACTTTCAGCAGATGACCTCACCAGAAAGAGGCCATCACTTTGTTGCTCTTCAGTTGCTAAGTCGTGTCCGACTCTGTGACCCCATACACTGCAGCATGCCATGCTTTCCTGTCCTTCAGTATCTACCGGAGCTTGCTGAAACTCATGTCCATTGAGTTGGTGATGCCATCCAACCATCTCGTCCTCTGTCATCCCCTTTTCCTCCTGCCTGCAATCTTTCCTAGCATCAGGGTCTTTTCTAATGAGTCAGCTCTTTGCATCAGGTGGCCAAAGTATTGGAGCTTCAGCTTCAGCATCAGTCCTTCCAATGAATATTCAGGATTGATTTCCTTTAGAGTTGACTGGTTTTATCTCCTTACAGTCCAAGGGACTCTCCAGAGTCTTCTCCAATAACACAGTTTGAAAACATCAGTTCTTTGGTGCTCAGCCTTCTTTATGGTCCTGCTGTCAGATCCATACATGACAACTGGAAAAACCATAGCTTTGACTATGTGGCCCTTTGTCAGCAAAGTAATGTCTCTGCTTTTTAATGCGCTGTCTAGGTTCTTCACAGCTTTTCTTCTAAGGGGCAAGCATCTTTTCATTTCATGGTTGCAGTCACTTGCAGTGATTTTGGAGCCCAAGAAAACAGTCTGTTACTGTTTCTATTGTTTCCCCATCTATTTGCCATGANGTCCTGGGGCCACTGCTGAGTTTTCCAAATTTGCTGGCAAATTGAGTGTAGCACTTTTACAGCATCATCTTTTAGGATTTGAAATAGCTCAACTGGAATTCCATCACCTCCACTAGCTTTGTTCATAGTGATGCTTCCTAAGGCCCATTTGACTTCGCACTCCAGGATGTCTGGCTCTAGGTGAGTGACCACACCATCATGGTTATCTGGGTCATTACAATCTTTTCTTTTTGTATAATTCTTCTGTGTATTCATGCCACCTCTTCTTAATATCTTCTGCTTTTGTTAGGTCCATGCTGTTTCTGTCCTGTATTGTGCCCATCTTTGCATGAAATATTCCCTTGGTATTCCTAATTTTCTTGAGGAGATCCATACATGACTACTGGGAAAACTATAGCTTTGACTATATGGACCTTTGTCGGCAAAGTGATATCTCTGTTTTTTAAAACGCTGTCTAGGTTTGTCATAGCTTTTCTTCCAAGGAGCAAGTGTGTTTTAATTTCATGGCTGCAGTCACTGTCTGCAGTGATTTTGGAACCCAAGAAAATAAAGTCTGTCACTGTTTCCATTTTTTCCCCATCTATTTGCCATGAAGTGATGGGACCGGATGCCATGATCTTAGTTTTTTTAATGTTGAGTTTTAAGCCAGTTTTTTTTTACTCTCCTCTTTCATCCTTATCAAGAGGCTCTTCAGTTTCTCTTCACTTTATGCCATTAGAGTGGCCATCACTTACAACATCTTTTATCATCTACCCTTGCCACATACCCTACATACCAATCTATGCTTTCCTCCTTGCCTCGCTGATGGAGGAAGATGTGTCCCTTGTCCACCCAAGACCAGTGCCATTACCGTGTTCCAGATCTCCTCTCATCTCCTCAAGGCTTCTTCAATCATCCTTCCCTCCTTTTCCACCCATATTCATTCAACAAATATTTACAGAGCAACACTGTATCTGGATGCTGGGGTTAGAATGACAAATGAGTTAGATAATGCTCCAGACCTCATAAAACTTCCACTGTAGTGGGAAAGATAGACCAAAAAAGGAAATGGATGTAAAGTAAATGAATAAGAAGATAAGGGAATAAGAGGTCACTTTATTTTTGTTTTTTGGTATTTTTCCCAGAAAACATGATTTATTGTTGTTTAGTTGCTAAGTTGTGTCCAGCTCTTTTGTGACCCCATGGACTGTAGCCCACCAAGCTTCTCTGTCTATGGGATTTCCCAGGCAAGAATACTGAGTGCGTTGCCATTTCCTTCTCCAAGGGATCTTCCCAACCCAGGGATTGAACCCATGTCTCCTGCCTTGGGAGCTGGATTCTTTACCACTGAGTCACCAGGTCACTTTAAATAAGGAAGTCAAGGACTTCCCTGGTGACCCAGTAGCTAAGACTCTGTGCTCCCAATGCAGGGGACTGGGGTTCAATCCCTGGTCAAGGAACTAAATCCCACATGCCCAAGAGTTGGCATACGGCAGCAAAGGTCAAAGATCCTGTGTAGCACAACTAAGACCTTGTGTAGCCAAGTAGATAAATATTAAATAAATATATAAGGACAACAGAGGGGAAAAAAAACCTTTTTTTGTGGATATGACATTTGAGCTGATGTCTTAAGGATGTGGATATGAATGAATTTTCTGTGTGAAGTTCTGGGGGATGAGGAGTCCAGATAGAAGGAACAGTGGTACGAGGATCCAGAGAGAAAGAGAAAGCCAAGGCTGTCTCAATGGCCTATAAGGCCCTCCAAGCTCCAGGCCCCCCATTCATCTCTCTGACCTCATTTCCTACTGCCCTTCCCCTCCCTCTGTCCCACCAACCTCCTTGCTGATTTTTTTTTTTTTTTCAAAACTGGCTTTAAATACTCATCAGAGCGCCATGCAAAGGGATTGGGGTGACAGCGTGTTACATATATGAGTGGGGATTGGGGTGCCCTGAGAGAAAAGGGACCCATCCATCAGGGCAGCTGGGGTGCCCCACCCCCAACCGGGGATAAGAGAACAGATAGAGGCCCTCTCAAGGGTCCCATAGGCCAACTGGGAGCCAGCCCTCCCTTCGAGGTAGATCATCGGGGAGGGGACCGAGGAGGAGCTCCCACAGTGGCGGTGATAGGCGGTCACTTCCTCAGTGGTACTGCTGATAGCTGGGGTAGCCTGGGCCCGGGGTACCCTCCTTAGGGGGCAGCTGGCCAGGGTCCTCCAGGAACGGGGGTGCATTGCGGAACTGCTGGGCAGTATAGCGAGTGAGAAGGATGCCAACACCCTCGATGAGGGCCAACAGGATGCCCCCCATCATTGCCGAGCCCGCCATGGCCAATGGGCCACTGCGGGCAGCCAGCACAGCCCCAGTCAGTGCACCACTGGTGATGGAGTTCCAGGGATCTTCCTTGCCCCGAAGCCGCACCAGACCACAGTCGATGGTGGAAAACAGGCCCCCCCACACAGCGAAGCTACCTGTGGGGGAACCAAAGCCTAATCAGTGTCCATGGGGAGTGCTGAGAAACCATGGCTCAGGGACTCCCAGGGCCTGAATACTGTGGCAAAGACTGAGGAGAATAACCAGACATAGAGACAGATGGCAAACTCCAAGAGGACAATCTCCATCTGTCCCTGTGGTAGCTCCTTCAAACTCTTTATAATCCCCATCAGCACTCCCTTCACCTTCATAGGGAGCGGATACATGGTTACAAGCAGATTTGTCTGCTTCAACGTGGCTTTTTATGGTCCTGTCATGGGACCTTCAAGATCTCAGTTCCCCAACCTGGGACTGAACCCAGGTCACAACAATGAAAACCCAGAATCCTAACCACTAGGCCAACAGGGAACTCCTGTCTATACGGCTTTTAACAGAGCAACTCTGACCATCCTGACTACCACATAGAATTGGAATCTGACCTGGGTTTCGGAGAGAAGGAAATGGGTGAGGAGAGCCAGTTAACAATGATAGTTAAAATATTTACAGAAGTCTTACCATGTGCCATGACCTGATCTACACACTGCATGTTACTTGACTTCTGAAAATTTATATTAGTTAATATTGTCAAAGTGCTTAGCAAGCAACCAGCACATAGTAAGTACTATGTAAGTTACATAAACTACAAAACTGATTGAGGTGGTTACTGCTTTTATCATTCCCATGCTACAGGTGAGGTTAAGAGAGGTTCAGCCACTAGCCCAAGGTCATACAGACATCAGGCAAGAGCCAGGGCCTGGATTTAAACTCCAGAGCTCACCCGTACGAAACGGCTGAGAAATATCNAGATATATATATATATATATATATAAACTCAACTGTCCCACCAGTAGGGCCTTGTACAAATTATAGTATATCCATAATAGAATACTCTGTGGTTGCTATGTAGGATGAGACATATCTGTAGGTACAAACACAGAACAAGCTCTGAGATGTATCAAATAGAAAGCATATAATGTAGGTAAACATGGAGTATGCCAATATGTGTATTTCACAAAAAGGAGAACACTAGATAAACATGCTTATATGTTCACAGAGTATTTTGGAAAGATAAACAAGAAACTCTGAATAGTGGCTGCCTCTGGAGAGGAGGACTGGAGTATCAGAAGTCAAGGTGAGGGGAACACTTATTTTACACTGTATACTCTGTTAGTTTGAATTTTTTTATCATGTATATTGCATTTCCAATAATAATTTTAAAAAATTTAATGATAAAGTAAGACTCACAATTGTATATTAGGAAAGGATGGAGAAGAATTCAACCCTCCACTGGGCCTTAGGTGATTGATAGGAAAATGTCACATCTTTTTTAGGAGTTTCTGTCTTCAGTCTCTCTCTGGATGAGAAAGGGAAAAGGAGTGGGACTGGAGACTTGGATTGGGAACTTGATCTTGCCACTGAGCCACTCCTGGAAAGATGGTGGCCATGGCCCACTGGAGAGTGTCCAGAGAACCTCGATTAGGGGTTAAGATCCATGTATTACGTGAGAGGCCGTGAGAGTTTCCCTGGGGTGGCTATATTCAGAGTGGGGATACTAAGTAGTCAGTTTCTTCTACAACAAGGCCCAGTCTGATATTATGAGCACAGGAAGACTGTCTTGACCTCAAGAATCAGCACTGGCCAGGGAAGTCTGGGCTGCCAAAGGGTTGGGGCTGGCTCCCTTCCTAGGGAAATTGTCCTGTCATGCAGGGAAACTGAGACAGAAACCTTGGCCCATGAAGCAGAGGAAAAGGAAGAGGCGGGGGTTTGGTGGGCTTAGGGTGCCCCAGAGCTCACCTCAGGCAGTCAAATGTGGGAAAGGTCCCTGGGCTTTTGGAGAACAGAGTGAAGGACATACGATGTGGGAAATGGCAGGCATACATAAAGGGAAGTGAGTTAGCCAGGTAAAAAAAAAAAACATTACTCAGCTGTTCTGTTCCTTTCCATCTTCACAAGCCAAAGCAGATATCATAAAATTGAGTCCCTTGTTCCTATGAGTCCGGGGCTGGAAGAGTCCTTAAAGATATTTTATCCAACATCCTCAGTGATGCTAGAATCCTTCTATGCTTTAGCCTCCATTCATACACTCCCAGAACTAGCAATGCCTCGGAGACTACAGGACCTGGTATACAAGGCTCTTCTCCTGCTTTCTCCTCAGGAGAAGCAGGCCTGGAAGGATCTTTCCCCACAGCGTTTCTCTGCCTGGCCCAAGTTCCAGCTCCCAGTAAGAAGCCCATGCCTGACAGAGCTCCACTTTCTTCCTCTCCCAGAGCCAGCTTAAAGTCAGGAGGAGGCACAATGCTGAGAAACCCAGAAAGTTCCCCAGATTCCTCTGTGATCAGGTCAACTTCATTAAAACGAACTAGGTTCTCTGAGGATTTGATCGTGGATGTGGTGTTGTTTGCTGTATCACAGTTCCTATGGCTACAGGCTCACAGTGAAAAGGGAACAGGTATACATCAGCATCTTCCTGTAAAACTGGGATCTGACCTCCTTTATAGTCAAACATGCAGCAGGCCACCGTGCAAATGGCACAGCATGAATAGAATCAAGAGAGTCCTGAATGACTTAAGTGGAAAAGAACACTAAATGAAATGATGCATGTGAAAGGATGTGTTCTATCCTTGGTTCAGCTTGCATCCTGCATAATTGTTCACCATTCATCTTTCATATCCAGAAGGGAGATCATCCAACTGAAAGGGTTGCAAACTGGCAGCCCCCAGGCCAAATAAAATCCATAAACCTATCTGGTATGAGTTCAGAATGTTTAAAACATGTTTTAAGTCAACTTTTAAAAAATCCATATCTTTTCAGTGGAAAAAAAAATCCAGTTTTCAGTGTCAATGCCCTCCTGTCAAAGGCTTTCAAGAACAAACCTATAATTGAACAAAGTTGGGTTTATTGACTTATTGCAGAAAGAGACCACACAATATGTGAAACTGTGAGACATCTCAGTAAGAAATGCTGTAAATGACTTATTGTAGGACTTGAACTTGTGTTAGGTTTCTGGGGAGGATTCAAGAAAATGAGCTGACTCTGATTTAGATGCTATGAAGAAGTGGGGAGTAGTTCTATGATTGGTATCTTAACACTTTTAATCTAAATGATAGGAAGACTAAAGCTATCACTGATAAAGAAGGAAAAGTAATTTATATTAGGCAGGATGTGGGTATTGAGTCATTTCTGTTGTTTCTGTTCTTGCTTTTTGTTCATTTACTATTTATTTATTTGGCTGTGCTGTGTCTTAGTTGCAGCATGCAGGATCTTTTAAGTTGCAGCATGTGAACTCTTAGTTGTGGCATGTGGGATCTAGTTCCCTGACCAGGGATTGAACCCAGGCCCCCTGCATTGGAATCTCAGAGTCTTAGTGACTGGACCACCAGTGAAGTCCCTATTCTTACTTTTGACTGTGTTCAAATATAATGACATGGTGGTCTTATTTTTGTTTTGATCCATCACAGTTGACAGAGTGGCCCTGAATAAATGATACTGGTGTTCTGTAAAATTTATTACATTTTATCAAGAGAAAACATCTAGCTGTGAGTTCATACCGGCTCCTATCAACACCAAGGCTGAGATGATAGTGCCAGCCAGCTCCAGGCTGTCAGAGGATGCTTTCTTTTTCTGTCTCCCTCTTGGCCAAAGGTAGATGGAGTCATGCTTCAGTATGTTAGCTTACCACCCAGATTTTCACCATTGCAAAGATTTTGTTCATCAGGAGACTGTCAAGAGAAGATCTATATAGTTAGACTAAGGTTAGTCTTTCCTTCTCCTTTTGTTGCTGGATGGATTCTCAGAACCTCTGATACAACGATGGTTACACAGCAGCATTTAAAACTGTGACCAGGACTTCCCATGTGGTACAGTGGATAAGAATTGGCCTGCCAATGCAGGAGACATGGGTTCGATCTCTAGTCCAGGAAGATTCCACATGTTGAGTAACTTAGCGTGCACCACAACTACTGGGCCCAAGTTCCAGGGCCCATGAGCTATGAATACTGAGCCAGTGTGCTGCGATAACTAAAGTCCACGTGCCTAGAGCTTGTGCCCCGCAAAGAGAAGCCACTGCAATGAGAAACCTGCACACCACAACGAAGAACAACCCCCGCTATTAGTAGTTCCAAAGTCCAGCTTGTCTTTCTTAGCAATTCAAGTTATTTATTTTTTTAGCATAGTCACAGGCTGCTCAACTTGATCTGTATTTATATATAGGTGCTTCAAGCTGTGTTTGCCAAAACATGAATTTCCCTTTGGTTAATGAATTTAAATGTAAATTGGTTGTTGGGCTTCTAAGTAGCAGTTGTCATTTACTATGTCTGCTAAGGTTAGAGACAAGATCTGGATCACCTTTTCCAGTAGTATTACCCCTCTCTGGCAAGTATAGCTCATACAGCATGCATGATAATGGAGTAGGTTATCCCTCCTGGGAGTTTTCTTGAATAGCCTATTCTTAAACAGTCTGCCTCATTTTGGAGATTTCTGGAGAAGTGATAGTTTAGAATACTTTAAGGGCTCTTAACAATTACCCTGAATACACAGGATAAGTTAGTGTGCAGCAGGCAGGTAAAAGCCTGTTGTCTGCATGAGAAGTTAAACCCAGGACTTCCCTGGTGGTCCAGTGGCTAAGACTACGCCCTCCCAATGCAGGGGTGCCAGGTTCAATCCCTGGTCAGGGAACTAGATCCTACATGCTGTTACTAAGAGCTTGCATGCTGCAACTAACCTGACACATCAAAAAGGAAAAATACATTGGACCCTACTGAGGCATCGATTGTGGTTAGGAATACCCAATTTGGGAACCCTTGAGGTAGACAGATTTCTTGAATGGATTACATGGTGCTTTCAAGTAAAGTTGGAGTGTCTTAGAAGAGAATAGCAAGGATAGCCCCAATCTTTAGTTCCTATTCCAGATGACCTAGATTTTATAAGGGAGAATCCCTTGGACAGAGAAGCCTGGTAGGCTGCAATTCATAGGGTCGAAAAGAGTCAGACACGACTAAAGTGACTGAGCACCAGCATGAGCA